TTCTCGCCCTCGTCCTCGTCGTCGTCGCCCTCCTCCTCCTCCTCCTTCTCCTCCCCCCCCTCCTCCCTCCCCCTCCTCGCCCCCCAGCCGCCCGCGAGCCCTGGTGGCGCCTGCCGCAGCCGCATGCCTTAGCGCCTCGCCCTCGTTCTCCCAGAGCTTCTCGAGTTTCGCGATGTCCTCCATGGCGCGCGAGTTGCCAGGTGGGAGGGCCTGGGGGCGGCTCGCGCGCACGAGGCGCACCGCTTGCTCAACCCTCATTAGCCCCATGGCGCAGAGACACACAGCAGCCACGCACGCCGACCGGTACTCCCCCTGGCGGCAGAAGATGAGCACCTTAGCCCCACGCGGCGCCGCAGCCAGGGTTCTTATCGCACCCCTCAGCTGCTGCGCGACCCCGTGGTAATTCCACGATGCTGGCAAGTGGACTGGGTCCCTTAGCCCTGCCGCCCACTGCCGCACCCCGCCTCCAGGCCCGGCGCCGAGGCAGTCCACCAGGATGTCCCAGTCCAAGCTATTAGCCCTATCCTGCACAGCCGCCACGCCGCCGAGCCACCAGTTCATGCCCCACCCCGTCAAGAGCTTCGATGGAATGAGATTATTCGGATAAGTCGACAGCCAGTGCACGCGCGGCAAGGTCGCGAGACGGCGGTCTTCCTCGACCACCGCCGCCCACTGGCGCCGCCGGTGCTCCGCGCTTAGCGCCTCCAAGACCCGGGTCTCCAGCTGGTCCTCGCGAGGTGGCCAGGCAGGGGGGATGATGTCTAGCCCCAGGTTTGTAGCAGGCGGCCGGCCCATCCTGCCCCCACTACCCCAGGTTGTTGGTAGCAAGCGGCCTCTGGGGGAGGAGGGGCCCAGGGTTAAGGGGGAGCTACCTACCAGCCCCCCCTTGTCTTTCCCAACCAGCAAGTCCTGCTGCGATTGCGGATCGGACCACCCAGGCACCGGGGCGTCGCCGATCAGCATGTCGTACGCCACCTTCTAGCCCGCCCAACGAGCCGCCGCCCCCCCCTGCCTCGACCCCGCGCCACCGCCAACCGCCATGGGAGGCGGGGGGGGGCGGCGGCTGCTGCGGGGGAGGGGGGGGGGGGGCGGCAGCGATTATTAGCCCCAGCAACAACGCCTTCTCGAGCGACGCCTGCGCGCCACCAGTCGCCGGCAGGCCCAGCAGCGCCCGCCCAGCGCTGCCCACCTGGGCCACAGGGAGGGCAGGGCGAAGAAGCAGCCCGCCGCCGCCGCTGCTGCTCGCTGCCGCCGCCAACCGCCGCCGCCGCCACCACCACCACCACTGCCGCCCCGCCCCAGTCACTGCCGCTCTGCTACCGCCACTGCCGCCGCTCCCGCCACCAGTGCCGCCGCTCCAACGCCACCGCGACTATTGCCGCCGCCCTCTGGCCGCAGGTGGTCTGTCTACTACTAGCGAATCCCACCGGCCCTTTAGGGCGTAGGTGGCCTAAAGAGTTTCCTCTTCCAACCTCCTTCTTCCCCTTGGGAGGGTTTTTTTTACCCCTCCCCCTCCTACCCCCCCCCCTCTGGACCTGGTTTTTTACCTCTCCCCCTCCCCCCCCCCCCCTGGACCTATACAAACTTATATATATATATATATATACATATATACATACTCATACACATGTATAAGGCGGCAAGGGTTTGGCCGATTCTTTAGAGCGCCAAAGATTGCCCAAGATGGCGAAAGGACGAGGGCCGCCAGTGATGCCCCCAGATGGCCTCCTCCTCCGTCCCACCGCACCGCAGATCGCCAGATATGGCTTCCAACATGCTCCGAGGTGCCCTGCCTGAGAAATGTTGTCGCGTACTTTCAGGGCCCTCCTCTGAGAAGCAATGTTTTATTTTGCGTTCCCGCTATGAAAAATATTGATATTATTTAGTCAAAGCCGCCCAGGAAGCGAAATCGATCGTCCCGGAGAGAGAAGTGTGCGTGTGTGTGTGTGTGTGTGTCTGTGTCTGTGTCTGTGTGTGTGTGTGTGTGTGTGTGTGAGAGTGTGTGTGCGTGCATGCGTGCGTGCGTGCGTGCGTGTGCGTGTGTGTGTGTGTGTGTGTTTGTATGTGTGTGCGCGTGCGTGTGCGCGTGCGTGCGTGCGTGCGTGTGCGCGTGTGTGTGTCCTGGGTGGGGTGGTGGTGTGTGTGTGTGTGTGTGTGTGCGTGTGTGTGTGTGTGTGTGTGTGCGTGTGTGTGTGTGTGTTTGTAGTTGTGTTTGTGTGTGTGCATGTGTGTGTGCGCGCGTGTGTGCGCGTGCGTGCGTGGGGGGGGGGGGGGGGGGGGGGGGGAAGGGGTCTTTAAGCCCCCCGCCACCACCGCCACCACCACCACCACCGCTGCATCTGATTGATCGATGCCCACAGGAAGGCGGCCCCAAGAGGCCCCCCCCCCAATACTCTGAGCAAGAGGAGGGTTCCATGGAGAGGGCCCCCAGTGGGCTCGCTGCTGACCCTCGCTCCTCGCTATCCCCTCCCCCTTGTTGCGGCGTCCAATGCGACGCTGCGACAATGGGGGCGCAGCAGGCGGGCATCCCGCGCCCCCGCCATCCTCCTCCTCCTCCTCCTCCTCCTCCCCCTCCTCCTCCTCCTCCGCCTCCTCCTCCTCCACCTCCAATCCCCGTTGCCTCTTGTGTCTCGGCCTCCCCTTCCTCCTCCTCCTCCTCCTCCCCCTCCCCCCACCACCTCCTTCTCTTCCTCGTCGCCCCGCGCAGCTTGCGCTGCTTCCCCGCGGCCGTTTTGGCTCGCGCAGCGATCTCAGCGTAGATGGCCAGTCTTGGAGATGAGCTGCTGGGGCTATTGCTGTCGGGCGATGATGGCGGTGTTCAGCGGCCAGCTCGCCCAGCGCTAAGCAGGGCCAGGCTTGGAGATCAACTGCTGGGGCTACTGCTGTCGGACGACGAGGGCGCGGAGGAACAGGCAGCCCGCCCGGGGCTCGCGCGCTGGACTGCCGCGTCGCCAGCGCCTGCCGCTGAGCCGGCGCCGGCATCTGCACTGCTGGCGCCTGCAGCTGCATCGTCGGCGCCAGGCGTCGTCCGCACAGTGCGCAGCCGCGCTTTCACTTCGCCTGCCTCGCCTGCGAGGCCGCCGCGCCTCGCTGCAGCCACGCCTGAGCCATGGTTCGCTGCAGGCCTGCTGGCCAGAAGTCCCCAGCTGGATGATGGCGACGCTGCAGCTCGCAGGCAGCGCCAACGACAGGTGCGTCGTCGTTTGAACGACTGCCTCAACATTGTTGGGGCTAACAGTGGCATTGCGACCAACGCGACTGCTGGGGCTAATAACGCTAACAGCGGGGCAGACGCTGGAGGGGGGGCCGACGCAGCTGCCACAGCAGGCGCTGGAGCTGACATGGTTGGCGCGGTTGGGGCTAACCGCGCTGACAGATGGGCTTGCACTGTAGGAGGGGCCAGCAGCGCGGCTGACGCGGCCAGCGCTGCAGCAGCCCACGTGGCAGGCGCAGCCCGCGCTGCCAGGGCTGGCGGCGTGGCTGCCGCTGGCCCCGCGGCGGTCGCCGAGCGCGCCCCCCCCTGGTCAGTGGGCGCAGGCGCGCCGGACGTCGTGGCAGACGTGGTGGAGGACGACGTGGGGGACGTGGGCGCGGCGGACGCAGCGCCCGTGGAGGACGCAGGCTTGGCAGCGGCGACAGCGGCGGCCGCCGGCGGAGCGACTGCTGGGTCCTCGTTCGCTTCCTTTTTCGGAAGGTGGGCCCGCCCCCTCGCTCCAGAAGAACGACGCGAGCTTCAGGCGGTCTGTTTTTCGGGCGGCATTGTCGCGCCGCGCGCGGGGAGCCACGACAGGAGAAGAAGGGGCCCTGAGGAAGCCCTCCGAGAGGGGCATCCTCAGGGCTCGCAGCATGATTTTTTCTTCGCCTTGCGAGCAATGCTACAATGGGAATATGCCCAGAGCGATAGCCTCGACGTCATTGCGCGCGCCACGCGTCTTCATGCTGAGATCGTCGCGACGGACCTAGGCCCATTGTTGGGCGTTAGCGCTAACGAGTTGCGACGGCGGGTGGGCGAGGCCCTCCGCCGCCACTGCGCGGGGCTAAGGGGCGCGTACATTGGTTCCTCATCTGACCCTGAGTGGCGGTGGCGGGGCGGGCCGAGCTGGAGGTCAGGGCGCCGCGGGTGGATGGATGGCCACTGCCTTCGATGGAGGAAGATGGTCGTCCTCGGCTCGTGGCCCGACGCAGAGGCGGCGGCGCTGGAGGAGGTGGCCATAATTGCAGGGCGGTCGTCGCTGGGGGGGGCCCTGGAGAACGTCGCGGACGACGCGAGGGGGCTTGAGATCAGGCACCATCCAGGGTATAGTTGCATTTACATATGTGTCCAGCGGCGGACCAGGTGAATTGAAATGGAGGTGGAGATAGGGAGAGACCGGGGAGAGAGACAGGAAGAGAGATGGAGAGGGAGAGTGAGAGAGAAAAAAAGGAGAGGGGGAGAGATATGGGGAGAGAAAGGGAGAGAGAGAGAGAGAGGGGGGGGAGGGAGAGAGAGGAGAAGGAGAGAGAGAGAGAGGGAAGAGA